GGAGAGGGCTCTTCCCCCAAGACCGCTCAGGTGGCTGTCAGCAGGGCCCAGCTCCTCCAGGCTTCCGACCCAGGTTTTGTGGGTTCCGCCACATGGGACGCTCTGCAGAGCAGGTCGTGACCGGCAGCTCTGTCAGATGCCAGGCCGTCCTCTGCAGAGCTAGCAGAGGCTCAGAGCAGATGGGGAGGTAGAGACAGCAGTGGGGCCAGGACTCCACCTTCTGGGCCCGGCAGCTCTCGCCCACCCGCCCTGACCTTTGGACTGTCTTTCCCTCTCACTTGCCCTGTTGTTCTCACCCTCCTTCTCCATCCAAACAAATCCTCCTGCTCCAGCTCCACGGCATGCACTGCGAATCCTCCACGCGCACGCTCCCTCCCACCGAGCCTTTCCCACCTGCACACCCGCCCCAGCCCCTTCACAGCCTGCAGCTGCTGCTCTGTGGGGAGCTGCCTCCCTCTCTCTGCCCGGGCACCACCGGTCATCCCTCCATGGGAGTTAAAGCCACGCGGGGCTGGAGAATCCTGCTGAATCCAGGAGACAGAAGCACAAAGCAGGGAGCACACCCGAGACCCCGGGTCACTCTGGGTGTCAATAGCCAGGTGGGAGCTGGGTTCAAGAAGTTGGAACACAAGCAGGACATGTGTTAGAAACATAGGGAGATGTGTGCAACATCCGACTTACCGTTTAATGTAACACAATTTTGGTCATGTCCAAGTTTTCAGCTCAGAGGCATTCAGCACTGTCCTCAGAACTTTCATCTTCCCCACAGAAGCTCTGTCCTCATTAAACAGCTCCCATTCCCTTTCCCAGCCCCAGCAAACTCCTCCAACTTCTGTCTCTGGGAGTGTGTGTGTGTGTGTGTGTGTACCTGGAATCCAACTCAGGACCTTGGGCTTGACAGGCAGGCCTGGTGCCGCTGAGCTAAATCCCCAGCCAACCTTTTTTTCTTTTGTTTTCTTTTTTTTTGAGACAGGGTCTCGCTACGTAGTTCAGGCTGGCCTCAAACTCATGGTGATCCGCCTGCCTCAGCCTCCCAAGTGCTAGGATTACAGGCATGCACCACGACGTCCTGTTGTCTCCAGGAATTCGACCACTCTAGGAACCTCCAGTAAGTAAACCCTGTCCTGTTTGTCCTTTTGTATCCAGCGTGTTTCACTGAGCAGTATCCTCAGAAGCCACTTGTGTTGTAGCAGGTGCCAGAATTGCCTTTTATTCTCCACATGCTGGGCATGGAACCCAGGGCCACACTCATGCCAGCTAAGTCCTCTACCACTTTGCTGCACTTTTTCACAGCTGTACGCTATTCCAGTGTATGGACAGCTGCATCTCAGCTACCCACTCATCTGTGGATGGACACCTGGCTGCCCCACCTGGCTGTGCTTCTGTGAACATGGGAAAGCAGAAGTCTGTGCAGAACTGGTCACCTAGGGTGGAGCAAAGATGGAAGGTGTGGAGAGCAGGGCCACTAGGAGGGATCCCAGAGTGGGAGTGGTCAGGAGGAAGCCCCCTGCCTGGGAAGGGGCCAGAGAGGGTGCAGCCACAGGGCTGGGGAGCATGGCCCTCCCTAAAGTAGACCCAGCCGGGGTCTGAGTGTCCCTCCCCTGCCCTCAGTGGGTATAGCCCATGGGCCTCCTTGACACACATCCTCTGAGCTAGGACCCTGTCCTCCCCTTAACTGAGGCCTGCCCCTAGTCCCATGGTCATAAGCAGATCTGGGGAGACTGTCATAAAACAGTTCCTAGGGAGCTGGATCCAGAACTGATTCTGGGTTTTTTCAGAGTTGGGCCACCCAAGTCCTGCTGGGAAAGAGGCGCTCGCCAGCGCCACAGAAAAGTCACGGTGCCAACGTGTGGGGGGCAGAGGGCCCCTCATCCGCCCTGGTTAGCAGGTTCTGTGCACCAGGCAGCGAGCATGCGAGGCACCACACACACCTTAGCCCGATTCTCGATTGTCCACTGCGGCACCATAAGGACCATCACAAGCCAGCCCGTAACTCCCTGGCAGCATGTGGCACCACCCCTTCCCGTGGGTGTGATGCTTCTCACAGTGGGCAGCAGCTCCCGCTTCTCACCCTGGTGATGGCAGCAACACAGACACACAGGCGCAGGTCCAGACTCACATGTGCATTTTCAAGTCCCTGACTTGCTACTCTGTTGATGCTCTTTGGCCCAAACCAACCTCAGGACCAGACTTGCCCTGGTACGGTTTGGTGCATGCCTATCATCCTAGCTACTGGGGAGGCTGAGGCAGGAGGATCACAAGTCTGAGGCCATCTTGGGGTCAATTTAGGGAGTGCCTGTCTCAAAACTGAAAAAAAAACCAAAAACAAACTGAGGATGTGCAGCGGTAGAGTGCTTTCCTGGCATGTGTGAGATCCTGGGTTCAATCAATACCACGAGAAATAAAAACATGAGAAGAAAGAGAGAGAGAGGAAGAAAGAAAAGATCAGACTTGTAGTCAGGGTGAGGAGAAGGATGTTCCACCTTCACGAAAAAAAAGCTGCAAGTCACACAAGGGCAGGACACAAAGAGGGCAAAAAAATGCGGCAAATATGGCTGCTCCAGAGGAAACAGTGGCAGCTCCTCCTGCCCTGGAAGGGAGCTTTGTTTTCCCTGATCTATCTCTCTGGTCCCAAGTCCAGGATTCGCTGACTCCTCATCAATGCTCAGCGAACCCTGCTTCAGCAAACAAAACTCACTCTTTGCCAGGGATCCCCAGAGGTCTGGGTATCTTGTTCACTCCTAAATCCCCTACAAATTCACCTTTCTTTCCTCCAGGCGTGCTAGGAAATAAAACCCTCTCTCTGAGTCTGATGGGTGTGAGTAGAGCTCTGCGGGGCTGGGGCTGGAGCTGAAACATGGAATGTTTGTGGATCCAAACTGAGCTGGATTGGCAGGGCCGGAGGAGGAAGCGTGCTGCTGAAACGGTGCCCAAGTTGTGGCTGTCGGCTGCCCGCACTGCCAGAATTGCTCTGTTTGGAGGTATGTTTGTTTTATGGATTACGCTATAAGGTTTCCTTGAATTTGGGGTTTTCTGCAAAGCAGGCCTGACCATCTGAGTTTTATATGCTTCTCAAACCTCCTGAGGTTTGACTCTGAGCAGGAGATGTGAGGCGTGAGCTGAGAGGCCCGTGTTGGGCTTGTGGAAGGTGGTGAGGGCCAAGCAGGCTTGCCACGTGCTTCATGTGTGTTGCAGAAGGCGGAGGGTCTTTCCTTATCGTTTAGAAAAAATGTTCGGCCATGTGGCAATCTGCCCTACTTTTTTTTTTTCTGGCACTGGGGATTGAAACATGGCCTGTGAACTGAACTATACCCTCCACCCCTTTTTAATGTTTTCTTTTGAGACAAGGTTTTCCTAAGTTGCCCAGGCTGGGCACGAACTTACATTTCTCCTGCCTCAGGCTCCCAGATTCTGTCCTGATACTGTTGTGACTGACGTGAAATGCACAGGCTACGTCTGTGACTGGGCTGGGGAGCCTCCCTCTCCATGCTGGAGACTAGTTCCCTTTGCTGGGGCATGGCTGCTTCCTGGGGAGCTCCGGTACCTACAGGAGCTGTCAGCTGACTTCCCACATGAGGTGCAGAGTGGGGATTCTAATGGGGCTGGACGAAGCACGGAGCAAAGTCTGGAGACATTTTTGGTTGTTGTGATCGAGAGGGAGATGCTGCTACTGGCCTCTCCTGGGCGGAGCCTAGGGTGTTGCAGAACACACCAAGTGCCCAGGACAGTGCCGTAGTAAAGGATCATTCCCTTGAAGTATTATGCAAAAGTAAGGAAATTCTGACACATGCTCGCCGTGGCTTGAATGTGGCCTCTCTGAAGTTCAGGTGTTGAAACTTAAAGGCTGCTGTGATGGCATTAAGAGGTGGGGTCTTTGGAAGATGGTGAAGTCATCAGCCTCTCCCAGCACTGTGAGTGGGATTGGGGCCAGGGATTTAGCTCAGTGGTTCCACTGCAGGGCCCACGAGCTCCAAGTCCTGAGTTCGATCCCTGGTACCAAAACAACAACAAAAAATAAATGGACCCAGTCTGTGTTGTTACAGCAGCACAAAACAGGTGAGGACAATGCTGCAGCACGAGCGAAATGTGGAAACAGGTAGGATAAGCCAAAGGGCAACAGCATGTCGCTTCACTTACGTGAGATCCCAGAGTAGTTGAAATCATAGCGGTGATGCATGAGGGTGTCTAGGGGGCTGAGGGATTGTTTAGTGCAGACAGTTTCAGTTTGGGAAGAGGAGGGGTTCTGGGGATCTGTCACAGGGATGGTTGTACAATCGTGTGAATGTCCTTAGTACCACTGAGCTGGGCAATGAAAGTTTCAAATTTTATGTTACATATATTTTAGCACATTTTAAAAGGTGCTAAATTGTAAATTAAAGATAAAAATCATTGGCTCAAAATGTCAGTAGTGCTGAGGCCGAGAATGTGGGCACACGTTGTGTGTGACAAGGTGGTGTCTTTGGTCCATTTGTGCGGAGGCTGGGTAGTTTACAAAGAACAGAAATCTATTTCTTATAGTTTGAGGCTGGAAAGTCCAGGATCAAAGTGCTGCAGGTTTGGGGTCAGATGAGGGTCTGCTTCCAAGATGGCACCTTGCTGTTCTGGTGCTCACATGGAGGACAGCCAGAGAGGCAAACCTCCCACCCCTACCCCTGCAGCCCTTCTGTCAAGGGCCTTTTTGTCAGGAAAACCACACTGTTCTCCCTGTGCTGTCACACTGCAGTGACCCCCAAACACGTGCGAACAAGCCATCAAAGCTGGGACAGTAGACACTGGGTGTTCTCTGGTCCAGCTCAGTGCTGGCACTATCAACCTGGAGTAGGCATTGGGTGGCACAGAGGGAGGGCCAGTCCCCAAGAGAACCACCCCGGATGCCAGCCATGCGGTCTCAGGTGATTGATTTCCCTGTGCTTCCGGCCACTAGCTAGAAATACATGGACGAAATATATGGTGAATATTATAATTAACACATTTATTACAGTAAAAGACACTTTGTCCTTAGTTGCCCTCAAAATACTGCCTCTTGCTTCGAACGTACCTATGCTGTCATTCTTGTCACCTTCTGAAGCAGGTCTGGAAGTCCTCCTTCGTGAGTGTCTTTGGACGTGTTGTTGTGGCTGCCTTGTTTTCTTGAATCAGTTCAAAACGTTTCCTTGTCATGGTCATTTCTGATTTGAGAGGCAGGAGTCTCAGGGTGTCAGAGCCAGTGACTAAGGTGGACGAGGACACAGCAGATAAGGACTGGTTTTTACAAGCGGGCGTTTCCGTTACGATGGCTCTCGGCAGCAGTGTTCACCACGTTTTTCATCACATTTCATAAAGACAGGAAACACTTCCAGAATTGCTTCAGAAAGTGGTAAGAACAATGGCATAGTGTCTCCAGTGTGAGGGAAAATATTTTAAGGGGGATTCATGGTAATGTTTTCTGGTGTAATAAAAAACAAGGTTTTTTTTGGTACCTGGGATTGAACTCCAGACTTTGCACCTGCGAGGCAGGCGACAGAATCACTGAACTAAATGCTGGGCCCTAAAAAACAATTTTTAATATTCACCGTGTTTCTCAATGGCATCTCGTGAATTGGGGTTTACACAACTCCTTTGTACAATCAATTGCTCGAGCAGCCAAAAGACTCAGGGGCACACACAGGTGGTGTAAAGGACACCACAAGGGAAGGGTGAAGCTCCCTGTCCTCCGCGGTCCCTCGGGGTGTTACTGGAGACCGCATCATACACCTTATGCTGACAGCCTGGGTGGGGCCCTGCCAGGCCTGTCTTGGCCTCTGTGGGCAGCATGCCTCACTGAGGGGCATGGGCCGGACCTCTCTGGAAAGGGGGCAGGTCCTCACCATCTGGACCTACCACTGAACAAAGTGGGACAGAGAATTGCTTTCAACTAAAGGCGGAGGAAGACTAGTTTCTCTGACTTGCTTTGAGGAAGAGAAATCCTAGTTTCTACGGCCTGCCCAGGACAGAGGCTTATGAACCAGAACCGTTGGTGAAAATCATGTACAGAATACATATTAGCCTTTACCTACATCTTCAAGAGCCCACTTCTTAAACGGATACTGTCACACTGCTGGTTACATTCCAACCTGAATTTTGGAGGGAAGGTTTCTTTCAGACGGTAGTACAGGTGCTGGCTTGATGGGCCACTGTGACCGCACAGCGTGATGCGCCATTGCCGTACAAATGTCACAACCTATGCAACAGCAGTTTCTCCTTATCTTCTTCCTGTCCACCTGTGTCCACAGGACCCCAACTTCCTGTGCCAAATTCCATTTGTGTAACAGGATTTCCCAGAAAGAGAGATGAATAGGGGTACATATCCGTACTAATTAGAGGAATCATTCAGTTAAGGAGGCCGAGAAGCCCACAACAGGCAGTGTGCAGGCTGGACACCTGAGACGGCGGTAGGACATGTGTGTGCAAATCTGAAGACATCAGAAGCAGGGAAGGGGACGATGTGACTCCCACTCTGAGGCTGAAAACCCAGGAATCCCAGGATTGCTGGCTCAAGCCCTGGAGTTCTGTCTATGGAGAGGAGTGATGCCCGAGCTCTAGGATAGAGCCTTTCCTCCTCTTCGGGGACCCTAGAGGACAGCCAGTGTCTGTGACCTATGCTCCCTTGGTCCCTCCCAAGCGGACCCTCAAAACTGTGCCTCACTTTGTCACCTGTTCCCAAACTGGCCCTGCTTTTGCCCAGGATCCCCAGGCCCAGCTTTTCTGGCGGAGCCCACCACATCTACCAGCCCATTCTTGGCTCCACATAATTAGGAGCTGGTGCTGGCTGTCCACCATCTCTCTCCATGCTCCCAATAAAACCTTCTCCTCTTTCCTTAGCCATAAAGCACCTACAGTTTGGGGACACTGGGTCCCCATGTGAGGCATGCGTGTCTCCCAAACACATGGGGTCATCCAATTCAAGAAGTTTCTTTTAAGGGAGATTGTTTCAGTGACTCCATTTTCCTTTGTGACAGGCATAAGAACTGCAACAGGCCAGGACACACCAAGTCCCTGCCTTCCAGAACAGATAGAGGCACAGTCAGTAGGAGGTATGCCAGGTGGCCATGAAGGTGGTAACGAGAGGGCATGGAGGGGATCAAAATTGTTTTTTTCCCTTCCTTCCTCTCTTCCTCCATCCTTCCTTCCCTCCCCTTCCTTAATCACCCCCTCCTTCCTCCTCCCTTTCTTTTTCTTTTTCTTTCCTTTATTTTTTAGTACTGAAGCAAGAAACTAGAGCTCAGGAATGCTAGACAAAGGCTCTACCTCTGATCTACACCCCCAGCCCTTTTCCTTTTTATTTGCGACAGAGTCTCACTAAACTGCCTAGGGTGTCCTAGACTCATGGTCGTCCGCCTGCCCCAGCCTCCCCTGCAGCTGGGATTGTAGCCCTGTGCCACTGTGCCTGGCTGCCAAAGTGATCCTCTGGGGAGTGGTCAGGGAAGGCTCCTCTGAGTGCTGACATGAACAGGGACCTCAAGGAGGTGAGAGAATGGGTGTGTGGGTGTCTGGAAGAAGCTCATTCCAGGCAGTGGGGACAACAATCGCAAAGGTTTAGGGGTGGGATAGGGTGAGTGACTTGACCTCTCCCTGCCCCAGGCCACAGACCCGACAGGGTCAGGGACAAAGGAGGGTGGTAAGGCCCACCTTCTCTTTTAGTTATCTTTTTTGTTTGTTTGTTTTTGGTACCAGGGATTGAACTCAGGACCTTGTACTTCTAAGGTGGGTGATGGCATCCCTGAGCTAAATCCCTGGCCCAAATCTACGTTGTCTTTTAAGTGGCTCCTGAGAAACTCAACCTTCAGACTGGACCTAGTGACCAGGCCTGGGGGATTGTTCTGTGCGCTGCGTGGCCACGCTGAAGAGTGAGGGGGAGAGAGGGCCCAGGGTCACCCTCTGAGCAGGAACCTTGGGCCAAAGACACGTGGGCTTTGGCCTTGATGATGCCATCAGCATTAGACAATTTCAGGTCCCTGATGCTGCCTCTGCTTCTGGAAGTTTCTGAGTCCTCCTAGAGCTCAGCTCTTCTCTGCCATCAGAAAGACCCACAGGGGCTGTGGGTTGGCTCAGTGGTACAGCACTTGCCTAGCGTGCATGAGGCCCTGGGTTCCATCTCTAACAGCACAAAATCAAACCAAACCTCTGGTCCAGTGGAGCTCAGCTTGGCCACCATTTGCTTTTTCCTCTTGTTTCTATTTTATTTTCTTTCTATACTTTTAATTGGGCTATAGGTGAGAGTTACTGAACTACCCCCCAGGAAAGCCTTCTTCCACCTCGCATCAGAGGAGGAGAGGAAGGGGATGCTTTATACACTGACAGGAGCAGAGGGGTGACCGTCTCTTTGGGGACTGCATGTCTCCGACACACCAGCATTCAGATCTCATGTGTTGGCAACTTAATCGCCAAGATCCAATGCTAACAGTATTTGGAGGTGGGGCCTTTGGGAGCTTAGGGTTATTAGGGGCCATCAGGGCAGGCTCCATGGTGACAGCAGTGAGGAAGACTCCCGAGCTAGCACACTTGCTCTGTCTCACCAGGTGACACCCTGTACCACCTAAGGACTCTGCAGAGTCCCCACCAGCAGCAGTGACCTCTCCTGATGCAGCTGCCCCATCTTGAACTTTCTGGCATTAGGACCAGGAGCTGGGTAAACCTTTATTCTTTATGGGTTTCCCAGGCTGTGGTATCCAGCGATGCTGGCAGAAGAAGATGATTCTGCTGTGCAAGGGGCCTGGGAACTGCCATGGGGGCCACAGCCTTCGTCTTCCTGCTGCCCCTCCTCTCTGCTTTCAGGGGCAGGAGGAGGAAGAGGCATAAAAACTCAGCTCTGTACTCCAAATAAATAAACGACAGGAATAGGTGGATCTAAGAAGGCGATCACCATAGCAATCACTTTCCTTTGAAGGTAATAAAAACGAGCATTGGAAACATGAACTCTGGGACCTGAGGCTGCAACTCCTCACCTGCGCTCATCACCATGAAGGAGCCGCGTGGAGGGAAGAGGGCAGGACTTCAGGTTCACTCCTGACAGCGCCCGCTGATTAAAAACTGGAGGAGGGAAAATACGGGAGGAAGATGGAGAGTTATGGGGGGAAAATAACCACCACAGCTCTGACAGAAATTGAGAATATAAATTACATTCACAGATTTCTTCCCAGCTGACAGATCTCCAGCTCGGGACGGATGGTGCTGGGTCAGGCAGCTGGCACACATAACTCACAGGGGCGGGACCCAGCCGGAGCACCAGCAGATGCACTGCACCGCCGGCCAGTGGGGCTGCTCTGCCTCGGCTTCTTGGGTGCCTGCTGGTGTGCTCCTCCCCTGTGACCATCAGTCCTGACCTGCCGTGGTGACAGACAGACCAGACACGGCTGGGCCTTGGCAGCTGGGCTGTCTGCAGAAAGCCAACGGCATCCTCCTTGCCAGGAGCATCAGTTTCAGGGGGCTACATGGAAATTTGTGTCCTTTTTACTTTTTTTTCTTTTTCTTTTCCGATATTTGCCCTCTACAAGGGGAGAGCTGTGATGCAGGCATCTAAGGCCAGTTCACTGTTCCCAAGCTCTTGATGCTGGTGCCCCGTGACAGCCGCGAAGCCTTGGCCCCTCCCTAGGGCTCCAGCCGGAGCTTTGTCCAGACTCCATCGTCTTCCAGCTCTGATAGACGATGCCAGTCCTGAGCTCTGTGTGCACTGTCTGAGTCTTTTTCCTGTGCAGTGTATCCCCAAACAGAAACAAGTTCCTATTGTTCCTTTATCTAATTTGCAAAACTCCAGAGAATAAAACTAAGGGAGAAATTAAACCACCGGTGCTCATAATGGGAAGACGGATGACATCAGATTTTCATGGAAGCGTCTGGAGAGAGCCCAGGAACCACTGAAAAGTTCATACCTTTGGCGCTAGGGATGTAGCTCAGTGACGAGCACTTTCCTAGCACACACTAGGACCTGGTTTCACCCCAGCACCACACACACACACACACACACACAACCCACACCTTTTGTTTGTTGTGGGCCAAATCATATTTCCCCGAAGCAGATGCCTGAGCCCTAAGTCCTGGTACCTCTGAATGTGACCTTATTTGGAAATCAGATCTTTGTAGATAGGAATAAGGTAAAAGTTAAGTTGATTAATGGTGTCTTGTGTGTGTGTGTGGTACTGGGGGTTGAACCCAGGGCCAGCACTCTATCACTCAGCTACACGTCCAGCCCTTGTAAGAGCGTTGAGTCAAATTTTTACAGTCCAGCTCCTCTCCCAGAGTCGCAGGGCAAAGTGCCAGGGTGAGAATTGGAACCTAGTCCTGGGCTGGAGCGCAGCTCAGTGGTGAGTGTCTGCTCGCAAGTGCAAGGCCCTGGGTTCCTCCCCCAGGGCTGCAAAACAAAACAAAAAGACCCCAAATCCAGCCCTCCTCCCTTGACTCCCAGCGGGAGCAGATGCAGCGAGCTCCCAGCTGCTGGCCTCAGGCCAGCAGCAGTCCTTACCTTGTGCTTGGCAGTGTGCTGTCCCCTGAGGACCTGCAACTCACATTAGCTTTCTCTGATGGGAGCCTTTGCCCAGCTCTGACCAGCAGACAGATCTTGAGAAAGTCATTGAAGAGCCGGGAGTGGTGGTACAGGCCTGCGATCCCAGCACTCTGGAGGCTGAGGAGGGGGACTGTGAGAACAAGCCCAGCCTGGGCAACTTTGAGACTGTCTAAAAAAAAAAAAAAGTTAATTAATTTTCTCTGCTTCAACTTCCTTCCTGGTAAAATAAATCTAAAACAGGAGCTGCCCCCGGAGCTGGGATAGAACCCAGAGCCTTGCGCACGCTAGGCAGGCACTCCACCAATGAACTCTGCCCAAAGCTCCTACAAATTGGAATTTTTTACCTGGAGTTATTGTGGCAAATTAAATGAGTTAATTCTCATTAAAAGAACTTGGCTTGGGGCTGGGGATTTAGCTCAGTGGTTCTGCTGCCTGCCTTGCAAGCCCAAGGACCTGAGTTTGATCCCCAGTATATATAAAAAAAAAGAACTTGGCTTGGTACCCACACTCATTAATCATCATCACCGTCATCATCATCATCATCATTTTGGTGGTACTGGGCATTGAACCCAGAGCCTTTACACTGGGCCACATCCCCAAGCTTTTAATTTTGTTTTTTTTTTTTTAAATTTTAAGTCCGGGTCTCCCTAAGAGAACTTGAACTTGTGACCGTCCTGCCTCAGTCTCCCTCAGTCTCAGTAGCTAGTATTTACAGATCTGTGCCACCGTGCCTGGCTCAGGTTTTTAGCATTTTACCTACAGGCGTACTTCTCTAATCTCTCTGTGTACAGCAGAGGCAACTCTTGGGTGAGCCACGCTCCAGGATCTCGTGTTCAGCACAGAGGCTGGGAAACACTGATGCTATGTAAATATTACATAAAATAACAAAGGAGTTTAAAAGGAGACGGTTATATTATTTGTATTTTCATAAAGGCATAATCTTATTGTAGGCAATATTATTAAAATAAAAGGTTATAAAAATTCAGTTTGGATGCTTTTATTGGATAACGAATTTCCTCAATATAGTTTCAATCCTAAAACCTTCTCTTCTCTTTGAGCACCGTATCTGTGGAGGACATAGACCCTGTCTTTGTGGCTACATCTCCAGGGTCCTGGGGAGGGAGGAGCTTGTCCCTGCTCACAGAGCTTATGACCTGTGAAGATGCTGGCCTTTGTCCCTTCTCCACAAAGAATTCCTGAGGGCTGTGGACAGTGCCGTCTGGTCCACAAACTTCTTGGAGATGAGACCCCCCTAGAGGGTCAGGACCCCCAGGATGGGAGCCAGATCTCGAGGAGGCTGGGGTGGGGCACCTTCCCTTGCAGCTCCTTGCCCTAAGCTCACAGCTCCCCAGAGAGTCTCTTCCCTTCCCTCTAAACAGCCCCCACGGGAAAGAACCCACAGAATGAGAAGGAGAAGGCACAGGGCAGGTCCGGTTTTTGTTAAGGATTCACTTCTGCCCCCCACCCCTGCCTTGATGGGTCTCCTTCTTGGCTCTGTCTCGCCCTGGCTCTTTGGAACTTGGGCCATGAAAAAACACTAAGTTCTGAAGGAAGAGATGAGGGTAACGGGTGAAGTTTATCCAAGGCGAGGCAGTTTTCACTATGGTCCCTTTACTGCGTAGGGGGTAGCTACCCTTTAAAAATGGGAATGAGGGGCCGGGGATGTAGCTCAGTGGTTTCACTGCCTGCCTTGCAAGTGCAAGGTCCTGGGTTCGATCTTGGGTACCAACAAAATCAACCAAACAAACAAAAATGGGAACGACGTTCCTTCTGTATGCCACCATCTACACGCTTTTTGTCAAATAAGGTAGAAAGACACGCCGGAAGGTGGAAGTCACACACATGGATGTCGCTATATTTTTAGAGGGATGAGAAGCAGAGAGGAGGCAGCAGCCTCCAAGGAAGGTGAGCCTGAGGCCCAGCACCCTCGCCTCCCTCTTCTCACCTCTGTCAACAAATCATGTGACCCGCAGAGGGCTGGCTCCCATATCGCTAAAAACAGAGTAGTAATGCTCAGACAAAAGGGAAGTATTGTGTATCTATTTTGGTTTCTTTTAAGCTAAGCACAGATTTCTCTGGGAAGGAGCTGGCTGGTCTCCCTGCATGGAAAACAATAGCTCAGTGCAGCACCCGGTTGTCTTCCCTTCCCTGACCTCCATCCTCATTCCCCGTTCTTGATGACAAAACACATTCCGTGCCCTTGATTGATTTAGCAGAGAATCTGCAATACTGGAGGATGGATCGCAGCCCATCCCGGCTGCCGCAGAGCGCCTCGCTCGGTTCCTTCACCAGCAGAGGCTGACGCTGAGCCCAAGGCTGAGCAGGTCCAGACTCCTCCGTTCTTCCTGGTCAGAAGGCCATTTGCCTGAGCCATTCTTCTAGACCTGCTTCCCGCCCCAGCTCTTCCCTACCTCTCTCCTTGACTTCTGCTGCGTGTGACTTAACACTATGGTTTGCCGCCTGCCCTTGTTTTCTAACCCTGCAGCTGGCACTAGTGCACGCAAAGGCTGGCCTTGAACTCAGTGTGTAACCCAGGCTGTTCTGGAACGATTCCTCCTCCTGCCTCAGCCTTCCAAGTGCTGGGACTCTAGGTGTGTGCCGCCATAGCTGGCCTCAGGTTCTTATATTTGTTCTCTTACTTTGCTGTATCTTTGGCTTCTGCTTTCCAAGCAGCCTGGGTTTTAGGGCTAGAAGCCTTACAGTAAGGACAAGGCCCCCTCCCTCTGTCAGGCGGGTCGAAGGTCATTCTGCTGGTTTGGATCAGAGCTACACCTGGAAGGTCCTGCTCATCTCTGTCGCTTCTGCGCCTGCTCCAGTTTGGCCTGCATCCAGGCAAATCTTTGTTTTTTTTTGGTTTTTGTTTTTTCTTTTTGGTACTGGGGATCAAACTTGGATCCTTGTGCTTGCGAAGCAGGTGGTGGAACCGCTGAGCCAAATCCCCAGCCCTGCTCATCTCCATCTGTGAATCTATAGCCGGACTTTGCCCACCAGCCAGGTTGTTTTAGGGGCACTCAGCTTATAAACACCTCCCCGTTCACATTCTGCAATGTGACTGTAAGAGGCTCTGCAGGCAAGTTACTATCAATAACCCTACCCTGTTTTCATAGTGTCAGTCAGAAGTGTTTTCCTGCATGCTCGCAGCACTTGTTTTCAAGATTAAATTATCTTATTTAGAGTTGTTATGGGAAGCTAACGTCCCTGCTCATAGGGAGTTGGGGACACTGGAAATTGGGACTGTAGGCCCAAGTGGCAAGTTGATCACATGCCATGGTAATTGGATGCCCCAAATGAAAAATATTTGTCCTTGAATTTCCAGACTCTCATTGGTCACAGAGGCTTGCTGCCTTTCAAAAGCCTGGAGCTGCTCCTCCAAGTGCTTGTATGGGCCATGAACAAAATCACTGGCTGGAGGTGGTCTCTGAATGTCACAATGCCATGAAATAGGTCAAGCCCACTCTTGAACTTTCAGGCTGTGAGTCAGCCTATGGCCAGCTTCTTTCTTCTTCTCCTCCTCTCCCTCCTCCTCCTCCTCCTCCTTCTTCTTTTACTTGAATTATAGTTTTCAACCTGAACTATCCTTAAACATTTACCATCTTCAAGTTCTTTGTGTCTCAGGTGTGGAGACAGAGGGCAGGATGTGTGTGTGTGTGTGGTGTGTGTGTGTGTGTGTGTGTGTGTGTGTGTGTGTGTGTGTGTC